CGCACGGCTCTGGGGCTCGGGTCGTTCTCCGAGGACGTCTCGGGTGGCCGGGGCCTCCAGGGTCCCGAGCCTGTGCGGCGACGGACCGTGCGGTGCGCGTGTCTGTGTGTGTGCGTGTGGAGGAGGAGGAGGAGGAGGAGGAGGAAGAGGGGAAGGAGAAGAAGGAGGAGAGGAGGAAGAGGAGGAGGAGGAGGAGGAGGAGGAAGAGAAGGAGGAGGAGGAGAAGGACAAGGAGGAGGGGAGAATAAGGTCTCGTGCGGTCTCGAGGCGCATGCCCGGTCGGGCACCGCACAGTTTTGGGGGCCCTCGGTTGCGGCAGGTCGCTCGACAGGGGCTCTCGAGTTCCACGATTGGGGGTTCCACGCGTTTAGGGGAACAAAAAGTGACATAAACATAAAAACTCGGAGCTCCGCGCGGATTTCTTGGATCGGCGCTGGGGCCCCCTGGCGGCGCCTCCGGCGCCGCCCCTGGCGCGCTCCGCGCGCCAGGGAGGGGGGTCCAGCGCCGATCCGAGAAATCCGCGCGGAGCTCCGAGTTTTTATGTTTATGTCACTTGTTGTTCCCCTAGTTGTGCACGGGCAGGTTGAAGCAGATGCCGAAGGCCTGGAGGGAAAGAGGCTGCGACAGGGATGAAGGCTACGACAGAGGCCACGCCGCAGAGGACACGCGGCAGGGCAAGAGGCCACGTTGGTGCCATCACGTTGGCACGCCGATGTGTTGTCGTGTGCTGTCATGTTAAAGCTGGACGGTGTTGACCGGGCGTTAGGGTGGCGACAGAAGGTATGGAGAGAGCGAGAGAGAGAGATGATGACGACAAGTTGTTGGGCCGCGAGCGTTGTCGGGGCAGCGGATAGTTACAATGGTAGGGAGCGACCTTTTTTCAAAATGGGGCGTCCGTCTTTCAAACAGGCGCTCGTCTTGTCCAGCGGGAGCTCCCCGTAGTAAAAAGGAGTTTTGAGGTGGATGTATTAAAAGAGGATGGTTGGGCGGAAGGAAGCGTTGCAGAATCGTTGTTGCATCCCGAATTGAATTTGGTCCGTGATGGGGAGGAGGAGGAGGAGGAGGAGGAGGAGGAGGAGGAGGAGGAAGGGGGAGACCACCAGCCACAGCCGCACAGCCGTTGGCCATGGCCGCGGGCGACTACGGCAAAGGAGGAGAACGAGGGGAGCTTGAGGGGAAGAAGGAGGCGGACGAGGAGGAGGAAGAGGACCGACAGTACTAGAGCGATGCTCGTTCGTCCAGTCGGGGTAACCGACCAAAGACCTGGAGGAGCCCAGAGGAGGAGGAACAGGGAGGGAGTTTCTTCTTGAGTTTCCTGCCAATCACAATCACAGTGGAGGTGGCCAGGAAAATAATCCTGGCGAAGGACCCAACCATATGCAGTTGTGGGTACCGCAATTGTGAATATCTTCTTCGGTGAAGCTCCCTATGGGGCCACGAAGCCCCGCACTGGGTGGGGGGAACGCATGCGGGTGGTAGCACTGAGGCCGTCGGTGGAGCTCCCGATGGGGCCACGAAAGGCTGTACTGGGTGGGCGAAAAAGCCAAAGTTGGTGTTTGGGACGAACGCGGGCGGTCCCACTGGTGGCTTCGGTGGAGCTCCCTATGGCACGAAACATTGTACTGGGTGGGTGAAAAAATGCCAAATTGGATGTGTGGGACGCATGCGGGTGGTCCCACTGGGGGCTTCGGTGGAGCTCCCTATGTGGCCACGAAACGCTGTACTGGGTGCGCGGGACGCATGCGGGCGGTCCCATTGGGACCTTCGGTGGGGCTCCCCTATGAAGCCACGAAACGTTGTACTGGGTGTGCGGGACGCATGCGGGCGGTCCCGTTGGGACGGGACCTTCGGTGGGCCCCCTTTATGGGGCCACGAAACGTTGTATTGGGTGTGCGGGACGCATGCGGGCGGTCCCATTTGGGCCCTCGGTGGGGCTCCCTATGGGGCCACGAAGCGCTGTACTGGGTGTGCGGGACGCATGCGGGCGGTCCCCATGGGGCCTTCGGTGCCCCCCCCCCCATGGGGCCACGAAACGTTGTATTGGGTGTGCAGGACGCATGCGGGCGGTCCCACTGGGACCTTCGGTGGGGCTCCTCATGGGGGCACAAAACGCTGCACTGGGTGTGCGAAACGGGTGATGATGATGATGATGATGATGATGATGATGATGATGATGATGATGATGATGATGGTGGTGGTGGTGATGATGACGATGATAATGGTGATGATGATGATGATGATGATGATGATGATGATGATGATGATGATGATGATGATGATGATGATGATGATGATGATGATGATGATGATGATGATGATGATGATGATGATGATGATGATGATGATGATGTGGTGGTGGTGGTGTTGGTGGTGATGATGATGATGATGGTGGTGATGGTGATGATGGTGATGATGGTGATGATGGTGATGATGGTGATGCTGGTGCTGGTGATGACGATGACGATGACGATGGTGATGATGATGAGGATGATGATGAGGATGAGGAGGAGGATGATGATGATGATGGGAGGAGGGAGGAGGATGAGGAGGAGGGCGAGGAGGAGAAGAGGAGAAACGCGGGGCACCGTCTCTTCAAAACGAGGACCCAACACCACAGGATGGTCGGGAAAAACACGGAGCAAAGACGACGAAATGCACGGCCAGCTTGGACGTTTGCCAGGGGGCGTCCTGCCCCGCTTCGTGAAACCGCGGCGGGGAGGGCGTTGTTGTTACGAGCTGCACCATTGCTGCGTCCCTGTCAGGGGAGGGCACCTCAACACCCACGAGGAGTTTCGCAACCACGGTGTCTTTGTTCCTGGACTTAGCGTTGATGTACTGTCCGCAGCGTGTTGCTGGCACGGTCCTCCGTGGCTCTGTGGGGCTTGTGAGGCATGCGGTTGCGGAGATGGGGAAGCGTTGTTGCAATCCCGCTCAGTTTGTTTGCGCTAAGTTGTACGCGCAACTGTTGTCTTTCGAAAAAGAAATAAAGCCATAAACATAACTAAACTGTTGACGCTCCGCGCGAATTTCTTGGATCCGCGCTGCCCCCTCGGCGGCGCCTCTGGCGCCGCCCCTGGCGCGCTGGGGTCCAGCGCAGATCCAAGAAATCCGCGCGGAGCGCCCAAAGTGTTTGGTTATGCCGTCATTTTCTCTTAGTTTTACCAGAACCTGAGTGCATAAGGGCCTCCACATGATGCACAAAGATGGGGGGGGGGGTCAGCCCCCCCCCCCTCCTTTTCGCACCGCTGCGGTGAAACATCGCACACGAGGAGCTTCGCAGCCGCGCTCTGCACGGCAGCGGCCCCCACCCTCTTGTCACTCCGAGGGCGCCACGCGCGGCGCTGCAGCTCGCCCTCGGCGTCCGCCCCCCTTCGCGTCGGCGGCCGCCGCTCGGGACCTGCTCGAGCACCCCAATTCGAGGCTGACCCCGACGTCGCCCGAGAACTCCGCGTGCCCATCTTCTCTTCGTCGAGCTTGCCGTCGGGGCTCGCCTGGACGACCGCCTCGCCGGCAGTGTCGAGCTTCACGTCGGACTCCATCGCGAGGCTGGCTCCGACGCCGGCCGAGTAGAGGAGCGAGGGAGGGAGAAGGGATGACGGCGATAGGATGAGATAGGAGGTGCGTCCGCGCCGGGGCCGGCGAAAACATGGTTTGTTGCCTAAACGTGTGGCGATTATCAAGTAAACTCTGTGTACTGCGTAGTACGGGGAGGAGGAAGGAGGCAGCCGTCGGCGCCAGCGGCCGCCGCCGAACGCCATCGGCCGACGGCCGCAGGCGACGCAGGTGCCCGCCAGCGGCGCCACCGCCTACCCCGTCCTGTTCGCCCGGCAGAGCTTGGAGAAGCGGAGCCCCCCGCTTGTCGCCCCCGGTCGCCATGAAGCAAAGGGGCCCTGAGGGAAACGGATCTTGCAGGTTATGCATAGTTTGTGGCGGATCCTGCAATTATTGTCACCGTTGATGGAAAGTTGCTCCCGGGGATGAGCCTCAGGATCCACCCGTCTCCTTGATGCTAAGCCTTTCGCCCTGATCAGTTCCCTGAGGTCTGAGCGCAGCTTCCATTTCACACAATGCGGTGTTGCTCAGTTTGGGGTCACAAGGCTCTCACGGATCGGTCTGGCCTGAGACATGCAGCAGAAAGATGCTTGCCCGCGCGGGCCAAACAATGGGTGTTTCATTCTCGGCGCTTTCTCATACGTGGTGCGATGGACGGTTTCTTGCTCGTTCGATGAGCAGCTTATGGAGCAAATGACGGAATGCAGTCTACGTGATGGGATGCATGCGTTGGCAGTTGTGCTAGCGGTGGCAACGATAATGCCTTTGAGAATGGCGACGAGGAGTAGTAGTAGTAGTTGTAGTAGCATAAGTAGTAGTAGGTAGGTCGGTAGGAAGGTAGGTTGGCAGGTAGGTAGGTAATAGTAGTAGGTAGGTAGGTCGGTAGGTAGGTAGGTCGGTAGGTCGGTAGGTCAGTAGGTCGGTAGGTCGGTAGGTCGGTCGGTCGGTCGGTCGGTCGGTAGGTAGGTAGGTAGGTAGGTAGTAGTAGTAGTTGTAGTAGCAGTAATAGTAGTAGTAGTAGTAGTAGTAGTAGTAGTAGTAGTAGTAGTAGTAGTAGTAGTAGTAGTAGTAGTAGTAGTAGTAGTAGTAGTAGTAGTAGTAGTAGTAGTAGTAGTAGTAGTAGTAGTAGTAGTAGTAGTAGTAGTAGTAGTAGTAGTAGTAGTAGTAGTAGTAGTAGTAGTAGTAGTAGTAGTAGCAGTAGCAGCAGTAGCAGTAGCAGTAGCAGTAGTAGTAGTAGTAGTAGTAGTAGTAGTAGTAGTAGTAGTAGTAGTAGTAGTAGTAGTAGTAGTAGTAGTAGTAGTAGTAGTAGTAGTAGTAGTAGTAGTAGTAGTAGTAGTAGTAGTAGTAGTAGTAGTAGTAGTAGTAGTAGTAGTAGTAGTAGTAGTAGTAGTAGTAGTAGTAGTAAAAGTAGTAGTAAGTAGTAAGTAGTAAGTAGTAGGTAGTAGGTA